TGCATCCGTGGACGCGGACGGGGACGGCAAGATCGAGTTTGTGCAGGACTTCGGCCGCACTTCGGCCGCACCTCGGCCGTGTCTCGGCTGCACCTCGGCCGCACCTCGGCCGCAATCGGCCGCACCTCGGCCGCACCTCGGCCGCACCTCGGCCGCACCTCGGCCGCACCTCGGCCGCACCTCGGCCGCACCTCGGCCGCACCTCGGCCACACCTCGGCCGCACCTCGGCCGCACCTCGGCCGCAATCGGCTGCACCTCGGCTGCACCTCGGCTGCACCTCGGCCGCACCTCGGCCGCACCTCAGCCGCACCTCAACGATGCACCTGTTCGTAGGTGTACAAGGCCATTTCGGACGAGGCGCGGCACGCACAAACAAGCACGCACGCACGCGTGCGCGCACACGTGTGTGTGTGAAGGACTTCCTCGCCCACCTGATCTTGCCTAGGCGCGGTTTGGCGGCGCGGAGGGCGGCGGCTTCCTCGGCGGGCTGTTTGGGCGGTAGATGCACCTGGGGAGGGAGGGGATGGAGCTCTGTTCGGAGAAGGCTCTCGTCTCGCAGCCAGAGGCAGAGCCACGGAAGAGAGGCTTCCTAGTGGCAATCGTTGCACATGTGTAGCATGAGACAGCATGGGGCTGCACATGCCCGCGCGTTTTCACGCAAGAAGAGAGAAATTTACCACACAAAACACAGGGCCGTTGCGCGTTGCGCCGTTGCCGTTGCAATCAAAGGAGCTTGACGTGACGTCACGTGTCTCCATGTCACTTCGTGCCGCTCGGGGCCGGGGTTGCTTACGCGGTCTAAGATCGGCGGGAGCTTCTTATGCGGGCTAAGTCGCCGCTTCCCCGTACTGACTCCGCCTCGCTTCGCTGTGGCAGGAGCGGAGCATTGGCATGCGACGTTTGCTCTTGCCCTTCCTTTGCGCCGCGGCGTCGGTGAGCTGTTCGCCGTACGTGCAGCGACCTGGCTCGGGCGGGGAACTGATGCACGGGCCACCATGGGAAAAGCAATATTTCAAGCACAAACCCGCTGCGAACCGGAGTGCAGTGCAGGGACGAGGTGCCCTTTCTGGAGAGGCGCTGCAAGTGCTCGCCCGCCAGCATGCCGAGGCGTACGCTACCGCGCGGCCATTCAAAAACATAGTGATCGATGGCCTCTTGCCGCAACCTTTGGCACTCGCATGCATGCGCGAGCTTCAGGCAAAGCACGAAGCTACCTCATTCTGGAAGACCCGACAGACTACAATGGGCTTCAAGCGCGGGCGTGGTGGCTATCCCGAGAACGCAGAGGGCGGCGCCTTTGGACTGTCTACCGCACGCCTCTTCGACTTCTTCCAATCGCCGCGCTTTGTTGCCTTTCTCGAGACGCTCACAGGCATCCGCGATCTGATGATTGACCGACGCATGTTTGGTGGTGGCGTCTTCTCGATCACAAACGGCGGCTTCCTCTCTCTCCACACCGACTTCAACCAGCACCTGCAGTGCTCGGAGAAAAAACATCGGGAGCTGTCCACCCAGGTCCCTCCCGGATGCACAGTGGCGACACCGGGCTGGCGAAGGATCAACGTCCTCCTCTACCTCAATCAGGATTGGCGCGAGGAATGGGGCGGCTCGTTCGAGCTTTGGCGGACGGATGGGAACTACTCGTTCCTCGACTACTACGCCAAGGTGTTGCCTCAGTTCAATCGGGTCGTTATTTTTTCTGTCACGGACACCTCCATCCACGGCCATCTTGACCAGATCAACCACCCGCTTGGTGACACGCGCAAGTCTCTCTCATTCTACTACTACACGCGGGACATTCACGACGAGCCACTTATCACGCCCCTGCTGCACGAGTCAATCTACATGCCCGGGCATGCAGCAAAGCGCTCGAAATCCCGCTGGCACAAGATGGTACCGCGATACATCATCCGCTGACGGACGCCGCTCAAAACATACCAGCCCTTCGAGTTCACGGGTGAACTGGTGAACTGGTTCATGAACTGGTTCGGTGAACTCGGACGCGGTTCGTTCGGTTTCGGAGTTCGCTCTGGACGGCTCCACTTGGTTCGCTGCATCGGTTCGGTCGTTCGCCCTTGGGCGCCGAACCCTCGAACTAGTTCGTGAACTCGAACCTTTTCTTTTTCTCCTCCCACCCGACCCTCTTCTTCACACCCGCAGGCCGAGAATACCAGGGAAGTTCGTCTGCGATGCGAACGAACAGGGAACGAACCACAATATTATTTTGGGGCTCTGCAGGTCTGTAGAGTGTTTCCCTGGTTGCCTACTAGAGGCCTAGTACGCCTGGACGCAACCCTCGGGGAGCCCCCGTCCCCCAGTCTACTCGCCATTCAGCACGCACAGCGCCCAGGCACCACAGGGGGCGGCCCTGCTGCTGCGCTCTCAAGGTAAGGTAAAAGGTAAGGTATAATTTTCTCCACACACACCGAGGTGGTGGGGCAAGGGGGGGCAACCCTCGCGTCTCCACGTCTGACGCTCACAGCGCCCGTATAGTCCGCTAGATTTTGCAGACTGTCGCGGACCGTCACGCGTCAGAACACGGTGCTGTGCCTTAGAAGGTGCCTTCGCACGAAAAATTCGTCAGGGGCGGGGAACCCGCAATTTGAAATGCTCCGGCATCTCAAATTGCCCGATACGATCTCCATTTTAATTGAGATTGCCTCGAGCATCCCAAGATGCATGAAGCAATTCAGGATGCGCGCGCATCCTGAATTGCTTCATGCATCTTGAATTGCTTCGTGCATCTTCAACCGGCGCACATGCGACGAGAGCAGGCGCCGTTTTTCATTGCCTATTCTAACGAGACACAGAGCAGCGGCACGGGCGTTGCCGATCGAACACGGATTGCTGAGGGCCATGCACAATTCGTGCGGTTATGGGCTGCCACCGCAAAACATGCAAACGACAGGCCACGCCACGTGCGCCACCATATCCAGCTGCGCAGCGGCAACGACTGCCGAGGCGCAGGCCGAGCCGCAGCCTACCCGATGCCCCGCCGACATGCGGCATTGGCCAAAATGCTGGGCATCTCAGGTTAAGGAAGGCAACTTGAATTAGCAAGGAGCATCCTAGAATGCAAAGGGGTAACTCCAGATGCTAGCGCATTCACGAATGCAGTTCGCATTCCAGGATGGTCGACGCATCCTGGAATGCGTGGACCATCTTTGGAATGCGGTGTGCATCTTGAAATGCGAAAAGTCAACTCGGCATTCTGAGTTGAAAAATGCAATCTAAATTGATTTTTTGCAACTCAAAATGCCCTCAGCATCTCAAATTGCGGGTTCCCCGCCCCTGACGATTCAGTTGCGAGTTTGGGGGGCTGCGTTCTCGTTCGAGTTCGGAGTTCACGAAGAGAGAAAAAACACAAGAGGGAATTAATTGGTATATGCGGGGGCCCAGGGATAACGCGCCACACCACAGGGTGCACAACTCTCAGAAGGGGGCCGCGGGACCGCTGCTCTACACAACTCACTGGTTGGTCCCAGACACGCCGGCTCGGGGGGCGGGCGTGCAAGGTTCCATGTCTGCTGCGAGCGAGAGAAGGAACGGTCAGGGCTGTCAGCCACGCAAGCCGCCGCAGTGTCGGCCGAGCCATCTACACAGCTCAGTCTCCCTGCCCTCCCTTCTTGCCGATAAGCTCGCTCAGGATGCTCTTCGCGCCCGCGGCGTCGTCCTCGGGCTCGGGGAGCACCTTTGGGAAGGTTCCGAGAAGGTTCCGAGGATGGTGGTTACCTTCGAGCCGTCCTCACGGGCGCTGGCAGCACCCGTGGAAAGGCTCCGGGCAAGTTCCGACTAGGTTCCGAGGTGGTTCCGAGAGAAAGTTCCGAGACGGTTCCGAGATGGTCGAAGCGTGCTCGGGTGCGGGGAACCTTGGTCTCGGCTGCGCCGTCGGGCAGCGGAGCGTCGACGTACCTGGACGAGGTCAGAGGTGCGCGGAAGGCCCTCCTCAGGCTCAGGCAGCCCTCGCGACTCCACGTCCGAGGTCACCGACCCCCCCCCCCCCCTCCCTCCCCTCCCCCCGCCCCGCTTTCCAGTGCAAGGCGAGCTGACGCACCTCACCGACGCCGAGTTGACGCAGTGCCGCTCATTGGTCCGGGTGAAGCGCTCGCCTGGAAGGGGAGCAAACACCCTCGCGAGATCTCGCGGGCGATCTCGGACAACCTCGGGCAGTGTCATGCAGTCTCGGATGATCAACTGCGCCAACCAATCCGTCTCACAAGCGATCTCGGGGCGACGTCGCCGCACGTCCACCAGCCCGCACTCCTCAGCACCAACCTCGCGCAACCTCGCGCAACCTCGCGCAATCTCGCGCTCTACTGTCTCGCCCTCGAAGACGTGGCCCAAGTGGCCGCCACACGAGCCACAGAGGATCTCGACGCGCCGCATCCCGAGCGAGGTGTCTGTCTGCGTCACCACAGCGCCTGAGGGAGATTGCACGAGATTGCACCAGTGCGAGAGTGCGCGAGAGTGCGTCACCACACCGCGCCTGCGGCGTTTGACAGTAGTAGCAGTACTTAATGAGGAGGCGCCCGTCGGCTTGCCGGCGCACTGCCCTGTGCCTATGGGGATCCGCAGCCCACTGACCGAAGAGCTGGTTGGGGGTGGTTGCCAGACGTACCAGTGCGCGCGCTGCCTTTGACGATCCGGTCGAAAGCAGGCCAACCGCACCCGCTGTCGAACTTTGCCGCAGCGGAGTAGAGCGGCGCGCCGCACCTGATCACGGCAGCGCGGTGGGAAGAGACGCCGTTCACAGGCCACGGCGCGCCGCGCCGCGCGTGCTTGCGACCCGCCGCACACAAAGTGGCCTGCCTTTGGGTAGAACTTGTCGTACTTGCCTGAGCACGCACGGCACGCCTCGTGTGTGAGTAGGCTGGTTAGCGCATGGGAGGTATTCTCTTCTTAAAGCAAGGTCTGTGAATTGTGACCCCCTCAATCGTCTGTGTGTGGTGCGTTGCACTTCGGGTGCTCCCTCATTGAGCTGTGGTTGTACCTCTCTTAAGCGCTGTATCAATCGGTGGGCGGACTGACCTGATCCAGGGTACTCGGTCCCTTTTTGCCGCAGCACGTAGTACTCCTCGTCCGAGAGCTGCTCCCGCCTGTTCACGGCAGCAGCTGTGAGAGGCGCCGCCCAGACCGAGTCCTCACCGGACCAGCCGGCCTCGCGCCACGCGGCCTCGGTCTTGCGCACACTGTACTCGACGCCCTGGTCGTTGAGGTCACGCACGCTGCCCATCATCCGAGCCTGAGACGCGAGAGTAAGACAGCGTGCGGTGAATGGCGATCCGGGAGAGGAGAGCTCTCCCGAGCGAATGGCCACCTGCTGTCCAGCCCCGCGCATCCGGACTCCGGCCATGGTTGGCAGCCGGAGAGCTGCGGATGGAGCGGCGCCCGAGCTTATGACTCCGATCAGGGAGAGCCGGAGGCGCCCGAGGAGGTGCATATACACACAAGCGGGGGCCGAGGAGAGAAAAGAATTTGAACAGGGACTCGCACAACACTGATCGAGTGTCTTGTCTTGTGGTTCTGTGTGTCGCTCCTGTGTGACCGTCATCGCCCGTCTAGCGTCCACCCATACCGCGTTGGTGTCCCAGTCGTTGGTCGGACTGTGTTTCGCCTTCCCATCAATCAATCAATCACTGATCGTCCTTCCAAAATCCTGCTCGTGCAGGTGGGGACCCTGTCCTCGTCCCATCCCTCGTTTGCCGTGTCTGTTTTCTTTCTTTCTTTTCTTTACTGGACATCCCTCCCTTGGGTTGTCCGTCTTCTTTCTTTCTTTTACTGGGCACGGGACTGGCGCGCACTGGCACTAACACAGGTACACCACTGGAGCCGCCTAAGCGACTCCCGCGAGGACGGCGAGGCACTTAGCTCCGTGCACTCGACCGCCCTCCCTCGCCGCTGGCAAGCTCATTCACAATCTGCTCTGCGATGGCCGTGTGAAGAACGACTGAGATGCGCTGCTAAGGTAAGGTAAGGTAAGGTAAACTTCTCCACACACACTAGGTGGTGGGGCAAGGGGGGGCAACCCTCGCGTCTCCACGTCTGACGACAGGAGCCCCACGGCATTCAAAGTGCAAGGCCCAGTGCGCGTGGGTGAGCGGTGTGTGTGTGTGTGTGTGTGTGTGTGTGTGTGTGTGTGTGTGTGTGTGTGTGTGTGTGTGTGTGTGTGTGTGTGTGTGTGTGTGTGTGTGTGTGTGTGTCACGTCACTGCATCCTCCGCCGGTTCCTCCCGTCGCCTCTTCTTTGTTCGAATGTTTTTCAATCCATCCTTCACGAAGCCCTCCCATGTAGCTAGCTTCTGCAGCCCCAGCCAGCTCTTGGTGGTCCAAGTCAGCCGATGGCGGCCGTCTTCTGGCAAGCCAGCCGCGGCCCTCGAGGCCCCCGCAAGCAGCCCGCCGCGAAGCAGCGGATCGCCCACGCAGCACAGGCGTCCGTTCGCGGGTGCCAGGCTTAGAGAGTCACCAGCTCACCCCGCGCTCTCGTTTTGGGTGTGGGGGGATGGACAGAGGCTGGGGTTGGTGTGGGCGCTGTGCGCTCCACATATCGCTAAAATGCCGCGTTTTTGTCTGCGCGTTTTTTTTCAGGAGCGCGGGAGCGGGAGCTGAATCCTGGAAGTGAAACGACAAACGTGTCTGTCAGTGTCACCTCTGGCTGACAATGGTCAATGCCATGCGCGCACGGGTATTACTACTATCGTGCGCGCGACCGTGTTGGGCGGTGTGGCTGGTGTCACCCCACCTGCGGTCTGCCTGAACTCCCCGCTTTCCCTGGGGGGTAGCAGATAGCACGCGCAGCGAGGGAGCCGGCCGCGACCATCATGGGGAACAGCAATGCGACCACCACGGCGTCGGCGCGCCCGAGGCGCGCGTACAGCACACACGCCTGGACGAGCCACGCGGCCACAACAGCGAGGAGCGCGGCTGTGCCTTCTCGGAAGGAGAGGGGGGAGGCGCCGACGAGGGCCGCGAACACGAAGAACGCGCCGCGCAGCGCGTTGGAGCGGAGCAGGTCGACGAAGGGCGGCAGCGCTTCGACGGGGAGAAGTGCCGTGATTGGCTGTTGCAGCCAAGTGCGAACCACGAAGCCGGCGCAGAGCAGCCAAGCCGCCGCGCGCCGCCGCCCGCACCACCAGAGGTTTGCGCTGGCGGCGATGAGCGCGACGAGTGCGACGTCTAGCTGCTGCACGAGGCCCAAGCTGACCACGGGACGCGGCATCGGGACCAGCAGCTGCGAAGCGTTGGGCGGCGGCGGCTCCTCTGGCGTGTGCGTCGCCTCACCGAGGAGCGAAAGCCAAGCTGCGGCGAGCGACGCGACGAGCGCGGCGAGGGCGACCTAAGGTAAGGTCAGGTAAATTTCTCCACACGCAAGGTGGTGGGGCAAGGGGCCAGGCTATCCCTCGCGACTCCACGTCTAAAACATAGGAGCCCCACGGCGTTCAAGGTGCAAGGCCCGGTGCGCGTGGGTGAGAGAGCGGTGTGACCTCCACGATCACATCCCGCGGCCGCCGGCCCGGCGAAGGTGCTCCGAGAAGGTTCCGAGAAGCTTCGCGAGGAGAAGTCGCGACGCGAGATTCTTCCGAGAAGGTTCCGAGAAGGTTTCGACCAAGGGCGAACAGCTCCGCGTGGGAGGAGCGGAACGGCGGCTCGGCTGCACTTGCTCCAAACGAGGGGAGCGGCCCGGCCGAGGGCGAGGGCGGTGCCGAGGGGGCTAGGCCGAGAAAGGCTGCGATGTTCTCAGCAGACTCTCGGTCGAGTAGGTCGGCCAGGCGCTCGTCCAGGTCCTCCACCTCGTGCGCCGCCAGACCCGCAGCGAGCGGGGACGGCTGCGCTGCGGCGGGTTCTGCGGCGGGTTCTGCGGCGGGCGCTGCGGCGGCTGCAGAGGCGGGCAGCAGGGAGGGCGCTATCGTAACCGCTATCGGCGGGTAGGGCGCCATCGGCAGCCGGGAGGGCGCTTGCGAAGGAAAGGTCGACGGCAGGTGGGCGAATCCATCGTCAGGTGGAGAAGACGCAGGCGGTCCGGTGCCGCTGCCGTACTGCTGTGTCCCGGCGCCTGTCGCAGCGGCTGCCACCCGCTCCGCCTCCACGACAAAGCTCCACGGGAGAGGCGTCATGGGCACGAGTGTGCGCGAGACGCGAAAGGCGATGAAGCCGGGCGGCGGCCACGGGAGGGAGGTGATGGCCGGCAGGTCTGGCAGAGGTGCGAGGTTGGGGAGGCGGACCGAGCACTCGTTCCTCAGGATAACCAAGATCGGGCCGGTGCAGTCTGCGGTCTGATTGATGATTCGGTAGTCCGGCCAGGGCACTGCGCGGGACGGGCTGTTCCACACGCCGGCGGTCCGTTGGTTGGAGAGTTCAGCCGTCCCGACCGGCACTCGCACTCTCGTCACGGGGACAAGCACGCCTCGCTGCCTGCACCGTGCACAGAACTTCTCGCGGAATGCTCCGCCTTTGGGAGGCACCACCTCGCACACTGACGCGCCGCCCGAGAGGATGCTGCCCCAGCAAACCTCGACATCGATCGGCTGGCGCTTGCGCTTGCCTGCCGGCGTGCCAGAGTCGACTGCACTGGCCTTCATTAGCATTGACCGACCACGACAACTTGGTCCCGGACACTTACCGTCTCGAGGTCTTCAGGTCCACCCAGCTTTGACCCGCGGCCAGCAGGAGCCCGCCCCCGGGCCGAACCAGCAGACACAGGGACGACACAGTGGGTGGAAGGCCTACCAGATGTCAGCGGCCTGCAGCGCGTACGCACACTGCGCCTCTCTCGCCGGTGACTGCTGCCCCACGACCGGCGGGGTCGTCCTCGACTGCTGCGGACTGCCGGCGTTGCCGTTGCCAAGCGCGGCACCGTCGGCGTACCCGCTGCCAAGCGCTGCGCCGAGCTCACCGCTCCACAACTTCGGCCGAGAGGAGAGCGGCCGAGGACAGAAAGAATTTTTTCACGCGCCACCACACTAGGCACGGGACCTTGGGTTGTCCGTTTTCTTTTTTATTTTTTAGTATGGTGTGCGGTGCGCGCACGCGCAGCGCACACGGCAGCCTCTTAAAGCCTCCCCACCCCCCTACCCACCCCGTCGCGCCGCCGCCGCCGCCCCCGCCGCCGCCGCCGCCCGCCCCCCGCTGTAGCGTTTGTTTGGGGGGGCGACTGGCGACGGCAAAAATGCAAAATAAATAAATAAAACGGACATCTCTACCGTGAGATGGGTAAAAAGGAACAGGTCCCCGCCCTTGCGATGATTGTGCAGGGTTCTTTGTGGGTGTGGTCGGCGACTAGCCGGGGTCGTCCTCCCGATGGGGGACTAGCACTAGCCGTCTTCCACATGGTCCCTCGGGTCCCTGCTGCTCCTAATCTCTTCGTATTTGCAAGCCCCGCCCCTGGCCACTAAAATACACCCTCTAAAAATGTTGCGAAGGGGTGACAGACATCCCGCACACCCGCTTGGCAGTTTTGGAGATTGATTGATTGATGGGAAGGCGACACACAGTCCGACCAACGACTGGGGACACCAACGCGGTATGGGTGGACGCTAGACGGGCTCTTGTAGCTCGATCGGTCACACCGCCATCGCCGTCGGGGAGAGGGGGGACGACACTGCTTCGGCAGCGTGCACCTCGTTCCTGTATACCGTGTTTGTTATGACCCCCCCCAATGAACACACCAGTGAGGGTGGGCGAGACGATCGAGGGGTCCCGTACCATGCGGAACCGACCCTATCCAGTGCTCAAGTGCTCAAGACGGGCGGTGACGGTCACATACAGCGATACAGGAGCGACACACAGAACCACAAGACAAGACACTCAGCCAACGTGGCTGCCACACATCCTGAGCGAACTCCCTAGTCACCCGCGGTCGGACTCCATCCGACACGCGTCGCTGGGCGCTCAGAGCCGCGTCCCCTGCTCGCTCGCCACCCCGACGCCCAAGGCGCCCGAGTCGAACGAACGACAGGCGGCACGCGAAGACTGGTTGCAATCCCGCCGACCACCAGGCCGCGGGATGATGTGTGCGTGGTCTTGTAGTGGGTCTGGAACTTGTTCTTCTATCTCTCGTATTCTTTTGGCGTCTTTCGTGTTCATCGGCAAACGTCGAGAATAGGAAACGGCCGCGCGGCTTTGCACCTCAATGGGCTGCGGCACGAGCAAGGTCCTCCCCTCCGCCACCGATCTCGGCGTGAGCGAGAGGAAGCTGGAACTGTGGCGCCAGCTCGGCGGCGGCGACCTGGAGCCGGTCCTCGCGAGCGGCGCCATCGCCCTCCTCGACGCGCGCTGGATCATCAGCCACGCCGAGGCGGGCGGCGTCCTCTCTCACCGCCAGGCGCTGCCCAAAGAGGCCTTCCTCTCCCTCGCCGACCTCGTCGAGACGACCAACGGGTATGTGGATTGGCTTCCAGTCGCCGCGCTCTCCTACCCGTGGCTGACCAAGGACCACCCCGACCCGCGCGGAGCCAACCTCGCCCGCGTCGCAAGGGCGCTCAGGGCCCTGCTCAGCAATCCCTACGGCATCAAGCGGCTCGGCGTCTTTTGGGACTTCGGCTCGCTCCACCAGCACCCCGACCCAGCCAACGGCGTCCTGCGCACCGAGGAGCAGAACGCGCTCTTCAAGCAGGGGCTAGGCTGCCTCGGCACGCTCTACTCCCACCCGCAGACTTTCGTGCTGCGGCTGACGTCCTTCCCGGACGGCTACGAGGCGGAGGACCAGGCCGAGGGCACCAACGTGGCCAAGTACTTTGACCGCGGCTGGTGCGCCACTGAGAACGCTTGGGCGAGCCTGACCAAGGCCAGCGCCCTCTCGCTCGACCTCGGCAAGATGCGCGACGGCGAGGAGTACGACTGCAACAGCCTCATCGAGGACTGCACCAAGGGCGGCGGCCGGCGCCCTCCGCTGCTGCCGTCTGTGTTCGCGGCGGAGCTGGAGACGAAGAGCTTCACCAACGGCAAGGATGACAAGCCGCTCGTGAAGCGGCTGTACGAGGCCGCCTTCGAGGAGCAGTTTGGCAAGGCGACCGAGCTCAACTACGACAGCCTCGGCTGGGGCGGCGCGGAGGCGGCGCAGCTGGCGGAGGTCCTCGCGAGCGGGGCAGCGCCGCGGCTCGAGAACCTCTATCTCACCAGCAGCGAGATTGGCGACGAGGGCTGCAAGGCGCTGGCCGCCGCCCTCGGCAAGGAGGGGGCAGCGCCGCGGCTCGAGTGGCTCTTTCTCTACCAGAACCAGATTGGCGACGAGGGCTGCAAGGCGCTGGCCGCCGCCCTCAAGGAGGGGGCCGCCCCGAGCTTGAAGGCGCGAGACGCCCCCTTCGCCTCACGCCCTCCCCCGCCAATGCTCATCGCACCTCTCCTCGCTTGCAGGTGCTCGGCGTGGACAACAAGAAGCAGCCTGAGCTGGAGGCCGTGTGCGAGGAGCGCGGCATCAAGCTGCGCAGCTTCTGAGCCTCTCCAACCCCGGCCGGGCGGCAAGGGCGCGGGGCCCGGCGGGGCCGCCGCGCGAGCACGGCAGAGAGCAACAGGTGTGGCGACGGAGCTCGGAGGGCTTGTGACGCGCGGACGCGTGTGTGACTTCGCGTGTGGGTTGGGGGTGGGTGTACGGGGGCGTCGGGCAAAAGGGGATCCCGCCCCACATTTCAAAGAAAGGCCGCTGAGTGGCGCAGGAAGGTGTGGCCAGCTCATGGGAACGCAGCCCCGGTGGGAACGCACTCCCGGCTCCCGTGCGCGGCCCCCCTCCCGACACCGGAAGACAAGTGTGCTCCGGGGGCATGCCCCGTGCACGCGTTCTCATATGACAGCGCACGGGAGCGGTGCTCCGGGGGCACGCCCCCGTGCACACGCCTCCTCATATGAAATGCACACTCCCGCCCGGTTTTCATAACCGCGAGGCCGGTAGCTCCTCCT